CAAGGATTGGGAGAAAACAATATCCTGGAATAATCCAGTAATTTGGGTTCTTTCATTAGATGCAGAGTCGTTATAAAACACAATGAAAGGAAGTGAAACAGTCTCTGTTTTTCCCCCAAGAAAACTATGACAGAGGTTGACTTAAACAAAGGAGTTACTCTTCCCTCTTTATTGCATGCAAGGGTCACATCCATCATTCTGCTTTTCATGGGATTGAACCATATAAATTGTATTTGCTTTCCCAATCTGGCGCCTTCCGCTGTAATGTCTATGACTCTTCTTAAAGCAAGGAAGGCTTTCCAAGCCCTTAAGTGTATCTGGAAAGTATTTGGTAGTGGAAGGCAAAATTAAGAGAAAGAGGAAAGAGACTGGAAAAGTCTCATAGAAATAACTGAGGATCTTGATTTTTGTACACTTCGCGGTGGCTCAGTGGCTAAGACACTGAGCTTGACGATCAGAAAGGTCGGCAGTTCGAATCCCTAGTGCCGCGTAAAGGAGTGAGCTCCTGTTACTTGTCCCAGCTTCTACCAACCTAGCAGTTTGAAAGGATGTAAAAATGCAAGTAGAAAAATAGGGACCACTTTGGTGGGAAGGTAACAGTGTTCTATGCGCCTTCAGTATTTAATCATGCTGGTCACATGACCATGGAAACGTCTTCAGATAGCGCTGGCTCTTCGGCTTTGAAACAGAGATGAACACCGCCCACTATAGTTGAGAACACCTGGCACATATGTGCAAGGGGAAATTTTTACCTTTACCTATATGTAATAGGGTAATCTACATCTCCTGGATTAATATTACACCAGAGTCATTCCTGTGAGATGGGCAGCCATATATATGTGATCAATCAATCAATATGGATCAGAACTTAGTTATCTACCTAATGTCGCACTTTTCAAATTTCATGGCTCAAAGCCATTTATATCTTCTGTAACATTGTAAAGGCTCATAAAATACCGCAGATATTTCAACAGTAAAATATGAAGTTTAAATATGTATCTTGAGTGCTTTTTAATATTTACAAGCTGAATTTAGAAAGAGCTCAGAATTGCAGATAAACACATGAATTGAATTGAAGAATTGAGAGTAATATGTAGGTTGTCCCATTCCTGATTTAGGATGAGAAGTATCAGAATTAAAAATATTTTGACACTGCAAATCACATTTGCATGGCAAGAGCTTTCAACTTGAGTTCTTCCACGCACCTATATGAAAAAAAAAATCAGATGCTGCTACATTTTTAACCACAACATTTGGAAGCTGGAATGACCTTCATGTCAGAAAGTGAATAATGCTTTATTAAATGAGTTAATATTCACAATGACACAGACAAAGCCTGGCCGATAAAAATCTCTTTTATGGCCATGACCTTTTGAATATATCTTTCCTGAAAGTACAGAAGATGGCTGCTGTTGTCAATTCACTCGATGAAGGCCACTGTTTTCCCGCCATTCACCCACCTCTTACCTGTAATAACAATCTCTCATCTCCTATGACGGCAGCTTGATTCCAATTAATCACTTCGGAGAATGGAAGTTCCCATCCATTGCTGAGCATCACAGGAATACAGGCAGCCTGTATTAAAAAAAATATAAGGAGTGGACAGTTTCAAGGTTCAGTTGCAGGAATTGGGTGGGTCTAGTTCAGGGGTCAGCAACCTGTGGCTCTGGAGCCGCATGTGGCTCTTTCATCCCTCTGCTGCGACTCCCTGTCACCGGCTCCACAATTGATAGGGCTTTCGGTTAGGACAGGTAGAGGAAAAAGGATGCCACGCTAGGAGGAGACTCTATGGTGGGGGAACTAGACTTCTGGTTGGCTCCAGAACTGAAGGGGGGGGGAGTGTTCTGTTTAGGACCTTTGTGGCTCTGAGTGTTTAAGGTTGTCGACTCCTAGTCTAGTTCAATGAAAAGAACAACTATGGGGTAATGTGATAACAATAGCACTTAGACTTCACAGTATTTCGCAGCCCTTTCTAAGCAGTTTACAGAGTCAGCCTATTGCCCACAACAATCTGGGTCCTATTAAAAGAGAATATTTGTAGCTGAGGGTTGAAATGAGAGGTCCTTGGTGTTCTCTGAGCTTGCTTGTTTTCTTGCAGATGTTTCATTACCCTAACTAGGTAACATGTCAGTTTATATTCTGGTGCCTTGCCTGTCTGTGTGGGTGGAGGCAGTCTCAGAGGTATTTTGGTTGGATTGTTTACTCTTTGGCAGTTTCTTAATTGGGGTATTGCTAACTTGATTGTTGGTCTGAAGTTTTTTTATGCTGATCTGAGTGCTGATTCTTGGTGGAGAGAGCTGGAGTCTTTTTCTCTTTTGGGCTGGTTGATTGTCTCTTTTGCATTGTCTATACATGTTAATGTCTATGTGTCTGTTGATGTCTGATTTGTCAGAGTGCCAGGCTTCTAGAAATTCCCTGGCATCTTTGGATTTGGCCTGGTCTAGGACGGTCACATTTTCCCAACTGAAACTATGGTTAAATCTGTCTATATGTTGTGACATTAAATAATTTTCATCATGCTTTCTGACTGCCAGCTGGGAAAATGGCATTACCAATGAAAATGAAAATATGTTAAGCATTAGGGATATAGGGTTAGGTCCCCTTGGAGTCAGGGCTGAAAATTGATGATAGGGATAAATTCTTAAAGGTTCTTTAATGAAAGGAAAGGGGGAACAGTGGCTCAGTGTCTAACACGCTGAGCTTGTCGACCAGAAAAGTGAGCTGTTCGGCGGTTCGAATCCCTAGTGCCGCATAACGGAGTGAGCTCCCGTTACTTGTCCCAGCTTCTGCCAACCTAGCAGTTTGAAAGCATGTAGAGATGCAAGTAGAAAAAATAGGAACCACATTTTGTGGGAAGGTAACGTGCGCCTTCGGCGTTTAGTCATGCCGGCCATATGACCACAGAGACGTCCTTGGACAGCGCTGGCTCTTCGGCTTTGAAACAGAAATGAGCACCTCCCCCTAGAGTCGGGAATGACTAGCACATATGTATGAGGGGAACCTTTACCTTTACCTTTAATGAAAGGGAACGTGACAGCTTTTCATTTAGACCTGTGTGTGGACCACAGTAAAATGCATTGGAAAACCCCATGGCCAATGAAAATGAAACTAGGGTTAGGTTTGAGTTAGGGTTTGATCTCTTTGTAGTTAGGGCTGAAAACTAATGCTAGATTCTTAGAGATTCTCTAATGAAAGAGAATGTGACAGCTTTTTGTTCAAACCTGTGTGTGGACCACAATAAAATACATGGGAAAATCTGCCAATTGAAATTAGGGTCAGGGTTAGGTCTCCTTAGGAGACAAGAGCAAAAACTGATGCTTGGGATAGATTCTTAGAAATTCTCTAAGGATACTGAAGGTTACAGCTTTTCGTTTGGACTTTTTTGTGGAGCAGAGTAAATTACCTAGGAAAATATGATTGACAATGAAAAGAAAAGTAGTGTTTAGGGGTAGGGTAGGTGTTAAGGTTAGGGTTAGGGTTAGGTTTGCTTGGAATCAGAGACAAGAACTGATGTTGGAGATAGACTCTTAGAGATACTCTAAGGAAAAAGTATGACAACTTTGGTTCTGATTTCTTTGTGGACCACAGGAAAATGCAAAGGAAAATTCTGTTGCCAATGAAAATTAAAGTAGGATTAGGAATAGTGTTAGGGTCAGGGCAAGGTATTCTTTGACTCCGGACCAAAAACTGATTTTAGGGATAGCTTCTCAATGATTCACTTAGGATAGCAGTAGTGGCATCTTTTCTCTCGGACTTCTGTCAGGATAGCAAAGGTAATAGCTTTTTATTCAGACTTCTTTGTGGACCATAGTAAAATCCATGAGAAAATCCTGTTGCCAAAGAAAATTAAGTAACAAAGAGCAACACAGATGATTAGGGGAGTGGTGGCTAAAACATATGATGAACGTTTCCAGAAACTGGGCATGGCTACTCTAGTGAAGAGAAGGACCAGGGGAGACATGATAGCCGTCTTCCAATATTTGAGGGCCTGCCACAGAGTGGAAGCAGTCAAGCTATTTTCCAAGGCACCTGAAGGCCAGACAAGAAATAATAGATGGAAACTTATCAGGGAGAGATTCAACCTGGAAATAAGGAGAAATTTTCTGACAGTGAGAGCAATCAAGCGATCGAACTTGCCTTCTGAAGTTGTGGGAGAGTCACCACTGGAAGCTTTCAAGAAGAGACTGGACAGCCAACTGTCAGAAATGTTATAGGGTCTTCTGCTTGGGTGGGAGGTTGGACTAGATGACCTACAAGGTCCCTTCCAACTTTGTTAATCTGTTCGGTTAAATCTGCTGCCAGGTTAACTGGGGTTTGAGCATTTTCCTTAATCCTCATTATATCAGTCTGGAAGTCAGATGACCAACAAGGTCCCTTCCAACTCTGTTATTCTGTTATCTGTTATAAACTAGATTTAGGGTTAGGTGTCCTAAGAATCAGGGGTGAAAACAGATGTTAAGGGATAGTGTGGAAAAAAGAAGTATTGTGTGAATTGGGTAATATTTAACTGTGCAATTTTCAGGATCTATTTTGTAAAATCCTGGTGGATTCCTGCATTGTCAAGTTATAGCAGCAAGATAATTATCCCAAATATATCTTGGATGGAGTGGGTAGATTGTTTTATTTTGCATCATTTTAATTGTCCTGCAGCTTCTTTCCCTTGAAAATGTCTTAACAAACAGAAATTACCGCTTAAAACTTATTTAGCCTGCAGTGAAAAAATCTAGGCTAATATTATAAACCTGTGACTTCATATAAACCTCAAAGCCCCCATGGACTGGACTGCTAAAAACTGAAACACGTTTTCCCATTCCACTTCAGTGGAAGTGTAAAAATTATAGTGTAAGTCTTCAAATAAGCACATCTCAGTTAAAAAATAAATAAATCAAAACATCCAAATCTCTTGGTGGAACTTCACATCTTCTGAATATGTGATAGGTCAATGTTGTTTTCTGACTCTGAGAGCCAATATATGGTAAGTGACCTATATTTTCAGCAAAAAACGTCATCATCTTTGCTCTGGAATAATATTCCTAACTCTATTTGTCCAATGGACAGTGATGGGGAACCTTTTTGGCACCAAGTACCAAAAGGGAGCATGTGCATGTGCTTGTCGAGGACCCGTCCCAGAAGAGAAGTTGCCAAGTGGGCATGCGCATGCCGGGAAATTAACTTCCGGTTTACGGCGCGCGTAGGCTCATCAGCCAGCTTGTCTTCTGGATACTGGCATGCATGCACGCATGACCAGCTGGCTGGTGCGCAAGCGCACAATGGAAACCAGAAGACCAGCTCTTCCGGTTTCCGACACTGCTGCACATGCAAAAACCAGCTGATCGTCGCGCGTGCATGTGTGCCAGAAACCAAGAAGAGGAATGGGCAATGCCATATGTGCCAGCTGACATGGCAATGCGTACCACTTCGGGCACATGTGCCATAAGTTCACCATCCCGGGTCTAGGTTAATCCACCTTTAAGGAAATATAACAATATCTCTTGATGGTGAGAAACTCCTGTGAGTCTCTGATCATCTCTCCTGAAGAGGAATGGATGCAGAAGCACAGAATAACAGAGTTGGAAAGGACTTTGGAGGTCATCTAGTCCAGAGGTTCCCAACCTTTTTGATGCCATTGATTCTTTTTGTGGAAGACAATTCTTTCAAAGACAGGAGTGGAGGGTGGGGGTGGGAGGTTTCTAGATGATTCAAGTACATTATATTTATTGTGAACTTTATTCCTATTATTGTTACATTGTAATATATGATTAAATAATTATACAATTCACCATGAATGCAGAATCAGTGGGAGCCCTGCCTTGAGCTTGTTTTTCCCCCTGCAACTATTGAATATATTATTATACCTATTTCATTGATGGGTAATGAAAAGGAAACCCTCCTGAAAGTTATTAATACATTTCTGCTGGTTGATCCAAATAATTTCAAAGAGGCTAGTAAAGGGGAAAAGCAGGAAGGAAGGAAGGAAGGAAGGAGGGAGGGAGGGAGGGAGGGAGGGAGGGAGGGAGGGAGGGAGGAAGAAAGTCATGTGGCCGGCATGACTAAATGTCAAAGGTGCATGGAACGCTGTTACCTTCCCACCAAAGGTGGTTCCTCTTTTTCTACTTGCATTTTACATGCTTTCGAACTGCTAGGTTGGCAGAAGCTGGGACAAGTAATGGGAGCTCACTCCGTTTCGTGGTGCTAGGGATTTGAACTGCTGACTTTTCTGATCGGCAAGCTCAGTGTCTTAGCCACTGAGCCACCATGTCCCTATTGGACCCTTAGTCGTGTCTTTTTATTTTTCCTCTTTGCAAGCCTTTCCAAAGTTCTTCAGATCAACCAGCGGAAAGCTCCAACTTTCAGGAGGGTGTGCTTTTAATCACCAATCAGAGAAACAGTTATGGTAAATATACTCAATTACATGCATGGCTTCCTCCTCCAGCCCCCACTCCCTCTCTTTACCTGGGCCCTTTCAATTCTCCGATGCTGCTTCAGCAGTCTTCGGCTAAACACATGGGGAAAGGAACGGAGGAGGCACACTCTCTTGGAGGGCAAATCCATATGTCCTCCCCTCTCCATGTACATGTGTGTGAACCTGAGCTCATCCAAACATCCTCCCCTCTTTGTGAATCCGCACATCCTCTCCATGTATATGTGTGCGAGCATGTTTCTATCATGTATGCAGGAGGGGGTGGGAGAGAAAAGAGGAAGAGGTTCCATTTGCCTCTGGCATTTGGCTTGGAGAAATAACAGTATCTCACTCATGGCGAATTGTCCTGCAGGGCGAATCGCCCCCAGTGAGTTGCCCGAGGTAAATTGGCTGGGGTGAGAAGGCGGCAATGAGAGAACGGCTGTGAATTATCCCATTCTGAGCTGAAGCAGTGATGCTAGAGTTGGGGGGGGGGGCCTGCAAATACAGATGAAGCTTTATTCGCTCACCCACCTCTCACCTCCAGTTGTCCCAGTTCCTAGCAGGCCATGGACCTGTACCAATCCATAACCCGGTGGTTGGGGGTCCCTATTCTTGCCTCCAGAAGTTGTGAATGGTCCAACAATGGAAGTTTTTAAGAAAAGATTGGATAACCACTTGTCTGAAGTGCTGTAGAGTTTCCTGCCTAAGCAGGAGGTTGGACTAGAAGACCTCCAAGGTCCTTTCCAACACTGTTATTCTGTTCCGTTCTATTCCATTCCATTCTCAAATCCCTTATTCAAGCAGGAGACCCAATACTTTCCGGACAAATAACTATCCAATCTCTTCTTTAAAAACTCCAGTGTTGGAGCACCCATAATTTCTGAAAGCAAGTCATTCCACTGAAATATAATTTCTGCTTTGCTCTTCCTTTCTCTGTCACAATATTATCTAAGACGGAATTTCACTTGAGAAACAAAAAGCTTAAATAGAGCTAAAATGTCTATTGTTTTTACCTGCAGGGCCTCCAAGAACCTGAAGGATCCAAGCCTCCGGCCACGGGGGACCAGACAGAAAGTGGCATTGTGCAGCATTTCACGATAATCATATCTGAGGGGAAAGAGAATAAAATAATAAATTAATAATGAATGCCAAGATAATTGTGCATGAAAATATAAATATCTGGCAGTGGACATCTGTTGTTAGAATAATTTCTAGACAATTTCACATCTGTAAAGTTGAAGTAAGATTAAGAAGAAAAAAGAGTAGGGTAAAAAGCATAAATTCGTTTTCTGTGTTCGAGCAGAGTACACGGTAGGAACACCTTACCATTTATTCTTATTTTAAAAACTAAGGAAGGAAGAAAATTCATCCATGACCTACAGAATGAAAAGATCCAGAATTTTTTATTCAAAATGCATTTTGGGATGGTGATAATGATGACCAACGCCTAGAATTTCCTAGCCAGCATGGCTGACTGGGGAATTCTGGGAGTTGAAGTTTGTATATCTAAAAGTGGCCAAGGTTAAGAAACTCTGGTCTAGATCAGTGGTGGGATTCAGCCCGTTTTGGCGAACCAGTTGTTAAATTGCTGGCTGGCTCCACCCCTTCCAGGAGTCCCCCGCGCCCTGTTTTGGCTCCCAGGTAAGTGCGGGGAAGCCTATTAGGCCCAAAATGGAGCGCGCTCCCCCATAGCTGATTTTTGCTCCCAGGGGGGTATAGGAGGCCAAGTGTTACCTGTCACACCCCCTGGCCACACCCACCCAGCTGATCATTAGGGCAGAGAACCGGTTATTAAATTATTTGAATCCCACCACTGGGTTAGCTTTGTCCTGTGATCCTATGAACAACACAGACTAATTTTCAGACACAAACAAGTACGAATATGCTACAGCATGCTGTTTATCACTACTTTGTCTGCCATTGCTAACATTCTTACTAGGGAATTTTCTGTCTGCATTTCAGAAAACAGTTGGGAGTAGAACAAGTAACTCACTGGCGCACCAAATCAGGATCAGGATAGTTTTCTTTCAAGTTTTGTTTTTCATTAGGGAGATCGTCAATTACAGTTCTGGATTACACAACGTTCTATTGGTCTGTACAGCAGAGTTCTGTTTGGTTTTAGAACAGTAGTTTGTTGAACTTCTCCATGATCACTTTTAAACCATGAATGTTGGTTTAGCTTGTCATTTGAACAATTGTGATTAATTCCATAAATTGAACTGAATCACACAAAATCTTGATGTGGTCTATGAGAAATAAATCATTTTATATTTTATAGGAATAGCACTGTGGCTGGAAAGTTTGTAGTTTCAATCCAGGCTTGGCCATGGTTAAAGCAGTCTACCAAAATCAATGGACAAATTTAGTCCATTGATTTTGACTGCATACTCTATCCTGCACCTAACTTTGCACATTATTTACCTTTATTCAGAATTTTACTTTCGAAGTGGTAAATGCCTAAGATTAACATTGTAATATCTTCTGATATATTTTATAATGCAATTATTTAAACCTAGCTTATGTAGTAGGGATATGCCAATTTTGGCTGATCTTGAAACACTAGAAAAGCAATGATTTGATTAATAATTGGATAGGATATCACCGCATCTAGACTGTGAACAAAAATCTTTGTGCTGGTCACAAGGAAAGCAGCTGGACCAAAGGTGGTATTCTACCGGTTCAGCCGAACTGGTAGTGGAAATTGCGGGTGGCCCCACCCACCTGCCCCAGCTCTACAGCATCCCATTTAGGCCATTTTTCGCCAAAAGCGCATACGTGGAAGGCTGCATGCATGCATGGAGGTGGCATGTGTGCTCACATTTGTGAACTGGTAGGGAAGGTAAGTGAATACCACCCTTGAGCTGGACACGTTCATATACAGAGCAAAACCAAGCCCAACAAGAGGAAACTTTTACATTGTATTTATATGCTATAAATGGATATCCACAAATATGAATATCAAACAAAGAATTTCTTGTTTAAAATCTATCTATCTATCTATCTATCTATCTATCTATCTATCTATCTATCTATCTATCTATCTATCTATCTATCTATCTATCTATCTATCATCTANTATCTATCTATCTATCATCTATCTATCTATCTATCGTCCATTCATCTATCTATCTTCTGAACAATTCCTTTTATTTTCAAATATTCGAATAGAGGAAAATGGTCAAAAATATTGGAGACTTATTTTCTCATACATAACCTGTGATTAATGAATTAATTGAATGCATTCTGTAACTATGTTTTCAATGGAGACGTATATTGGTACAGAAGCTTCACCATCAATGCATCAACTTCTTGTCAAGAGAGAAGAAAATCTAATATCCATCCAAAGCCACCAAGATTAATCATTCGGCAATAAAAATCCTCTTAATCAACCAGGAAAGGACAAAGAATGAATAGAATGAATCATATTGTTCAGCTATGGGTCAGCAAGCATGAATTCAATGAGAAAGAGGGATAATTCTTAACGTTTATCTGCCTTGTAACATAAGAGTACAGACTAAAGGAAATAAAAATTGCCAACAACATAAAGGAACAATGACCAGTATTCCTCAAAGTTAATGCATTCAGCAACACCCTTTCTTTTAAATCCCAACGAACTTTTGCAAAAGCTTTTACCAGCCCCCTCCACCACCCCCACATTAAATCCCTAAAGGTTTCAAACCAGATTGTAAGCTAATGGTACTTTTGGCAAACCTGTAATGACTTGGAAACTGCCAACTGCTAAACTGATGTCAAGAAAGCCAAGATTAAATATCTCTTCCTACAGTTCCTCTCTAGCTTGAACACCAATACGTTTATTTCTCCAGAGACTTTTGCAAACTGCAAATAGGTGCTACTTTGACAGTTAAAATCATGTAGCAAAATTTACCCAACCCTAATAATCTCATTTAATCATAGCCCGGAGGCATTGATTTTTTTAAAAAAACATTCTTCTTTTTGTATTGGGCAGGGGAAAAGAATAGAATATACAGAAATGGAAATTCAGCTCTATTTCTATATTTATTCTCCTCGAAGATACAAAGACAGGTGTGAGCTAATTTTGATAGGATTCATCACAAGGAAGTTGGACTGGTTTAAACAAGGGTGTATAATTTGCATGAAAAAGGGTCCTTGAAATAACTTAAGATGAACTTCACGAAACCCAATTAAATGTTCCACTTTTCTGTTATTTAAAACTACAAAACATCTAAAAGAAAGAGGAAAAAGGTCTTCTCACTATCTTTTCCTCCACTATCTTTAATCTCGTGTCTTTAATTTCTCATTATGTCTGCACAATTTCATTCCAAAGTTGATCAGCCAATTGTTAAGTTTTCAGTAGATTTCCCCAATCACATTAGTGTAGCATGGAAGAACTGACAAACTCACTATATAGCATCTATTTTGAGACTGACTGTAAAATAACTAGAAAAAGGGAAAAGACTTTATTTATCTGCTCCTATTGCCTTTAAGATTTCAGTATAGAACAAATGCTACCATTGAGTTGTAATTTAAACATTTGTACACCGCTTTCTATTTTACCCGTGTTTTCCAGAAAATAAGACAGGGTCTTATTTTCTTTTCATACCCCTCCCCCCCCCAATAAGCACATTTTCAGGGAGGTGCTATTATTTTTGAGGTGCAGGAAGCGATGAGCATGGTCACCTCATGGCTGCTGTTGTGTTGCAATATTTTGGAGGGAGGGCTTATTTTAGCGCATGCGCTCAAAAGCCCGATTGGACTTATTATCCGGGGAGGTCTTATTTTCAGAGAAACAGGGTAGTCTGGATCGGTACATCTTGTTTGTGATGTTTATATGTGTGGTTTTCTGTGCAATTCACAGAAAACCACACATATAAGCCCAAACAAGATGCTCCAAATGATTTTTTTTTTTAAAAAAACAGAACAGAGAACAGAATCACAATTGTAATTTGGTGGCATTCATATTTGCCCTTTAAAGTTCAGATCTTCTGATGCTGTGTTGCAATATTTTCAGGGAGGGCTTATTTTTGGAGGAGGCTTATTTTAGCGCATTGCGCTCAAAAGCCTGATTGAGCTTATTATCCGGGGAGGTCTTATTTTCGGGGAAACAGGGTAAGAACAAATCTTGAATTTTTAAGGTGGTCAAATGATGAAACACACAGGGAAGAATAGAAAACAGGATTTAATTTATAATTTTAATCACATTTAGTTATTAAAATTATATTAGTCAGATTTAGTGCTGGCTCACCCCTTTGCCCTGTATCTCATTTCCAGAGTCCTTGGAAAGCCTCTAAAAAGGCCAACTGTTCCACCCACCAAACTCTACATCATTCTTGCCTAGGTGCCATGCTAATCTGCTCGGTATTGTTCCAATTTTAGCATACAGGCTGCCCAAGCAAGCATAACCTGGGTTTTCCTGTTTTAGCATCAGCCTGATGTGTAGATGCTCTCAATGCTTCAGTAAAAGCATTAAGCTTGGCTGCCCATTTCCACACCTCACTGCAGCCTGCAGCACAAATACAAGGTAATGTGACTTTGAACTAAGCATGGCTCCTGATGACCACATTGATCAAACCTGCAGTTTTCTTGGGAGCAGCAGCCACTGACTTCTTCTAGCATGTGTTCCCAACTTGCCATTTCATCCTTCAGCCCTGGGATTGCTTATCCAGTTACTAACTAGGTGCACAAAGCCCCCCCCCCCCTTTTAAACAACAAAAAAAAAATGCAAATTGTTTTCAATAATTCTGAAGTGTTGGTGTGTAGGCTGTCTACTGAAGCTAAAATATGTCATTTTATCAGGCTTTCCAAACAAAACATCTGCGGTAAAAATAAAACGAAAGTGACCCACATTCTGCATCGTGGAAGTACAGAATTCTGCAACCTGTTAGGTTATGCAAAGGGATAGAATGAGTATTTTCTTTTATTCTGCAACACTGATGACAGATTTACAGGAGGAGGAGGAGGAGGAAGAGGAGGAGGAATTTTCTGCTTCTCAGTCACCTTTTTCCTTATGCATCAAACATCTTCTTTTTCAAGATATGCTGCAAGGAGAAAATACATATACTGCATATATATATTTTCAAGAGGCAATGGATTTTCCAGTTGTCCAGAAAGTCCAGTTGCTTCTTGAA